ATGTTTGATTTTTGTATGGCTCAACAGATGGTTGGTTGGTTGGATGGATGGATGAACATATGGATGGTAGGTTGGTTGGTTGTTTTGTTGGATGAACATATGGATGGTTAGTTGGTTGGTTGGTTGGATGGATTAACAGATGGATGGTTGGCTGGTTGGTTGGTTGGTTGGATGTATGGATGGTTTGATAGTTGGTTGGATGAACAGATAGTTGGTTGGATGGATGGATAGATGGTTTGATAGTTGGTTGGATGAACAGATGGTTGGTTGGTTGGTTGGTTAGTTGGTGGATGATGGTTGGATGAACAGATGGATGGCTGGTTGGTTGGTTGGATGAGCAGTTGATTGGTTGGATGAACAGATGGATGGTTGGTTGGTTGGTTGGTTGGATGTATGGATGGTTTGACAGTTGGTAGGATGAACTGATAGTTGTTTGGTTGGATGGATGGGTGTTTGGTTGGTTGGTTGGTTGGATGAACAGATGGTTGGTTGGATGAATGATTGATGAACAGGTGGTTGGTTGGATGAACTGATGGTNTATGGATGGTTGGATGTATGGATTAATGTATGGATGGTTTGATAGTTGTTTGGATGAACAGATGGTTGGTTGGTTGGATGAACAGATGGATGGATGTATGGTTTGATAGTTGGTTGGATGAACAGATGGTTGGTTTACTGGATGGATGGATGATGTTGGATGAACAGATGGATGAATGGTTGGTTGGATGAACAGATGGATGGATGGTTGGATGGATGCATGGATGGTTGAATGTATGGATTAATGTATGGATGGTTTGATAGTTGGTTGGATGAACAGATGGTTGTTTGGATGGATGGATGGATGGATGGATAGATGGATGGTTGGTTGGTTGGTTTTTTGGATGAATGGTTGGATGAACAGATGGATGGTTGGTTGGTTGGTTGGATGGTTGGTTGGATGAACAGATGGTTGGTTGTATGAATGGATGAACAGATGGTTGGTTGGTTGGTTGTTTGGTTGGTTGGTTGGACAAATGGTTGTATGAACAGATGGATGGTTGTTTGGTTGGTTGGCTAGTTGGATGGATGAACAGATGGATGGTTGGTTGGTTGGTTGGTTGGTTGGATGTATGGATGGTTTGATATTTGGTTGGATGAACAGATAGTTGGTTGGATTAATGGATAGATGGTTTGATGGTTGGATGAAAAGATGGTTGGTTGGTCGGACAGATGGATGGATGGTTGGTTGGTTGTTGGATGATGGTTGGATGAAAAGATGRATGGYTGGTTGTTTGGTTGGTTGGATGTATGGATGATTTGATTTTTGTATGGTTCAGAAGATGGATGGTTGGTTGGATGAACATATCGATGGTTAGTTGGTTGGTTGGTTGGTTGGATGTATGGATGGTTTGACAGTTGGTTGGATGAACAGTTAGTTGGTTGGATGAACAGATGGATGGTTGTTTGGTTGGTTGGTTGGCTGGTTGGATAGATTAACAGATGGATGGTTGGTTGGTTGATTGGATGTATGGATGGTTTGATAGTTGGTTGGATGAACAGATGGTTGGATGGATGGATAGATGGTTTGATACTTGATTGGATGAACAGATGGTTGGTTGGTTGGTTGTTGGATGATGGTTGGATGAACTGATGGATGGCTGGTTGTTTGGTTGGTTGTATGAATGGATGTTTGATTTTTGTATGGCTCAACAGATGGTTGGTTGGTTGG